AAAGGAGTATCTTTTCAAAGAAATAATGTGACACCATTTCCTGGGTGTAAAGGACATGAGTTTCTAGATTGAATGAGCACCAGGTGCCCAGCACAGCAGATGAAAAGGACAATTTCAGAACACCAAAGACAAATAAAGGATCCTAAAAAATAAATCAAGAATCAGGATGGCTTACAACTTCCAAGTTTCAACAGGAAAACTAGAAGTCAACAGAGCTATGTCTTCAAAATTCTGAAGGCAATTTCCAATCATACCCGGAGTAGAAGAGTCATTTTCAGTGATGCAAGGTCTGACCATGGTGCCTCCAACACAGTTTTTTTTTTTTTTTTTAAAGATTTATTTATTTATTTGACAGAGACAGACACAGCGAGAGAGGGAACACAAGCAGGGGGAGTGGGAGAGGGAGAAGCAGGCTTCCCGCGGAGCAGGGAGCCCAATGCAGGGCTCGATCCCAGGACCCTGGGACCATGACCTGAGCCGAAGGCAGACGCTTAACGACTGAGCCACCCAGGCGCCCCACAACACAGTACTTTCTTAGGAAACTACTGGAGAATGTTTCAGCAGAATAAGGGAATAAACAAGAAGATGTGAAATCCAGGAACTCCTATTTGACAAAAAGTTGTATTAAAGAAAGAAAATGCAATCATAATTGATCGTCTCATTCGCATGCTCACTGAATTGTAAACAATTTAAAAATTCAAAAAATTTTCTGAAGATAGAGGAAAAATGGGGGAGGAAAAACATGAGTGAGAAGAAGTTATCTTCTATGGGGAGAGAGGCTCAGAGGTGGTAAAAGATCTAAACTCTCAACTTCCACAGGAAAATCAATAGGTGATATCTGAAAAGAAAAATTAAGATATAGCAGTATGTGCATATTAGTTTAAAACATGGAGAGAAATACTGCAACTGCTAAAATCTTGAAAGTAGCTGCCTCTGGGAAGTGGAAAGGAGACTCTGAAATTTCCACCAACAATTATGTGGTACTATATGATTTTTTAAGCCATTAATATGTATTACTTTCATAAGAATAGTAATACCATTAAATTAAAAAAATCATTTAAAAAGGATGAAGTAAATCAATACGAACAGGTTTGAGAATACATTTTAAAAAGTGAGTTGCAAAACAATACGAATAGTATCATATTTATGTCTCAAGAAATGTCAACAACATACACAGGTACTCACACATATGATACAGTAAATACATAGAGAAAGGTCTGAAAGGTCTGGAAGGACATGCAAACTGGAGGGAGAATGGGACTGGGGTGGGGGAGGGATGACGGTAATTCACTTTTTTCTATATGTACTTCTTATTTAATGTTTTGTACAACAAAGATATTTTGAAACATTCATAATACATTGTCATAAAAAAAGCGCTGATAGAAAGGTATGTATTTGGTATCATCTCCATTGTGTTTTTTAAAATGTAGCTTCTAAATTTTTTTTTTTAATCAAAAGGACTCCTTTATCTCAAACAAAATATTACCTAATTCCCAATTTAAGCAGACAGGAATGAACCCGCAATGAATAAAGCAGACAAAAAAAAAAAAAAAAAAAATGAATAAAGCAGGAGCAGGGACCCCGTGCTCTGGTCAGCCAGTCATCCATCTGCCCCAGGCTGTCCAGGAGTCCTAAAGCAACCTCAGGGCTCCAGGCAGCATAGTGTAGAAACTGCTACTATCATAAAGGGGAAAGAAAAACTTGGAATGTGACTTTCTCTGAGATATGGGATTACAAGCAATTTTTCTTTTTCTTTTGTTTAATACATACACCTACATACCTTTCCTATAATTTGGAACAGTTTACATAATAATCTGTTCCTTAACATGCCTATATAACCACCTAAAACCTCACATACTTGTAGCAGCAAGGTGTAGAGATGGCCAAAAAAGCTTTATTACTCTTTTCAAGTTATGGTTCTATATTTATATTTCCTATTTCTTACATTGACTTCAATCATTTATATTTTTCTGGAAAATTTTATCTTATCTCTATCAAATTTATTGCATAATTTTACAGTTATCATTCTTTTCAAAAATTCAGTTTTAAGGGGCGCCTGGGTGGCTCAGTCATTAAGCGGCTGCCTTCGGCTCAGGTCATGATCCCAGGGTCTTGGGATCGAGCCCCACATTGGGTTCCCTGCTCAGGAGGAAGCCTGCTTCTCCCTCTCCCACTCCACCTGCTTGTGTTCACTCTCTCGCTGTCTCTGTCCAATAAATAAATAAAATCTTAAAAAAAAAATTCAGTTTTAAAAAGGTCTTATTTTTCAATTCTACTTTAACACTATTTTCTAACTAAAACTGTAATTAAATGCTTCTAGTTTTGGCTTTTTGATTGCCATTAATTTTCCATTTTTTTCTAAAGATTTATTTATTTATTTAGAGAGAGAGCACACACAAGTGGGGGAAGGGGCAGAAGGAGAGGGAGAGGGAGAATCCCAAGCAGACTCCGCACTGAGCTTGAAGCCTGACACGGGGCTCAATCCCATGACCCTGAGATCACGACCTGAGCTGAAATCAAGAGTCAGATGCTTAACCGAATTAGCCACCCAGGCACCCCTCATTTCCAGCTTCTTGAACTGAAAGTCAAGTTCATTATTTTCTCAGTTTCTTAATAAAAGCATTAGAAGTTATCAGTTTCCCCCTGAGTGTAGTTTTGGCTGAATCCCTTAGGTTTTTGTTGTTCAGTGTTCTTGTTGTCATTAGTATCTAAACAATATACAATTTCAATGTTTTATCCCCTTTGACCCAACCACTATTTCAAGTAGACAAATATTTTTAAAACTTTTATCATTAATTTCTAGTCTTATTTCATTGCCATGAAGAGACTGGCCTGTAAGACTTTTTTTTTCTATTTTAAAATTTTCAGAGTGATCTGGTACATAGCCAATTTTTATAATTGTTCCAGCGCATTTGCAAATAATCCTTCAACAAACAGCCTTCTGCTATTTGTCCATGGTATGCCCCTACTTCTGCTCTCCCACTGGATCTGGGTTCCTCCATTATCTACTCCTTATTGACCGCTAAGTATCGGTAATCATCTCCTTTATGTTGTGGAAATTCCTCAAATTTTCTGGCTCATGGCAGCTGCTTCTGGAATTACAAGAACATTCTTCTCCTTAATTTTATTGTTGTCATTTCCATGGAATATTTTTGGAAATGAAGGGCAAAATAATGGGCTCAAAGTATAGCATAGTATGTGAGACCTCAGTCTCTAAAACCAGAAAGACCAATGTCTGAATTCTAATTCTACCACTTCTTTGCTGCAGGACCTTGAATATGTTACTTAAATTCTCAGGGCCTGTTTCTAGATATAAAATAGTAATTACAATAGTTGCACCTAAGTTTGTCAAAAGAGGTCAATGAGAAAATGCAGGTACCTACTGAATCCATCATCTGACAAGCAGTAGTAGTACATAGTTAACATTAGCTATTGTTGCTGAAATGGGGTTTATGCTCCAAAGTTTTTATTACTTAATGTAAACAAAAAGGAAGCAGTATTTTCCACCAGAGCCTCATCATAAACATTATGGATATATTTGACAATCCCAACTAAGACAGTTATCTAACAACTTATAGTCTAACTTCATTAATAACACATGATTACTTGACATTTATAATTTGTGTGCTCTATAGACAACATGTAAAAGAATTTCCTTTCTGTGAGTCTGTAATGATTACAAAGAAATATACCACTTCCTCCAGTACTTTAAAAAAATAACCAGGTATATACCCAAAATAATTAAAAGCAGGGACCTGAACAGATGTTTGTACAACAATGTGCATAGCAGCATTATTCACAATAGCCAAAATGTAGAAAACTCACATGTCCATCAGTGAGGAGCAAAATGGAGTATGTATATACATACAATGGAATATTATTCCGTCTTAAAAAGGAAGGAAATGCTGACACATGTTATAACATGGATAAACCACAAAGGCATGATGCTAAATTAAATGAGCAAGACACAAAAGGACAAATATTGTATGGTTCTACTTATATTAGGTAACTAATCAAATTCATAAAGAAAGACTCTGAAAGAATAGTGGTTGCCAGGGGATGGGAGGAGGGGGTAAATGGGGAGTTGTTTTTTAATGGGTACAGAGTTTCAGTTGGGAAAGATGAAAAAGTCCTGCTGATGATGACTGCATAACAATGTGAATATATTTCACCAATGAAATGTACATTTAAAGATAGTTAAAATGGTTAAGTTTGATGTTATATATATATTTTGCCACAATTTTTAAAAAGTAATCAAGTGCCTACACGGTGGTGAATCTATATTTAATTCTACATACTACTTATAATCTGAGTAAAACATTTTGAAAATATGTCTTAAGGCTAGATAACACAATTCAGCTTGTTCAGAGGGCAAACATTAACCTCTGCTCCCTCAGACGCATGTTCACTACTCTTAAATCTTTAAGAGGTGTGGGGGGGCAGTCTTCACACTTATACCCACAAATACTTTCTTTTACACTCTTAAAAGTGGATATAGAAATGTAGTATAATTCTACTTAAGTAAATCTATCCTAATAAAGAAATCTTTATAGAAAAGTTCTTTCTATAGAAACATTTTCTTTACAATAGCAAAAACTAAAAACCACCTAAATGCACAACAATGAAGGAAGAGCTAAGTAAATTACAAAGCAAATGGAATATTACACAGCTAACAAACAGGATTCTATGAATGAGATGGAAAAATGCATATGTGATCAGTGATTTTAACTATGTAAAAAAAATACATTCTAAAAAGACTAAATGAGACACCAACATGTTAATAGGTGATTACCTTTGAGAAGTATGAGTAATGATCCCCCTTTATCTTTATACTTTTTCTGCTTTTCCAAATATTCTCTATTTGTTTTTGCTTTTGTAATGCATTATTTTTATAATGGGAAAATATATCCTTTTATTTCTTTTAAATGTAAATAAAAGACAAAGAAGAATAAAAATTTAATTCCCGTCCCCCCCCGGCCCCCCGCCCAGCAAGTACTCACATTCTCGGGTATGCTGGGAAGTTCTCTAGTATCAGGCACAGTAAAATAAGAATGCTGGAAAAGAAAAGCATATGCTATTTACTTTTGCGAAAATATGCAACAAGCACATTATTCAGAAATCAGGTAAATGATCTGAAGGTAGTTCCTCACTCAGATGAGGAAACAGAGTTTCACTCACAGGAAATGACTACAGAACATCTTCTTTGGATAATGCTGGGTTACAGCCAGACACACTAAGTCACCAGTTTGGTAGATGGAATTCTTTTCTATGAGAGATGAACTTCTTTCGGAGATATAAATGAACAGCCCAAAGAGGTTAAAGGCTAAATTCCCCTACAATGTTTGCACATTTCTGAACACATGAAAGCTGCAGGCTTCATAATTTATTGTTCAATGAGGCAAGTGGACTTGAGGGACCAAGTATCACTAGGTTCACTCGGCAATGGCCTTACCAACCAAACCTGCCATTTCATTTTAGCATCTGAGATTATATCCACATATAAGCTGCAGGCAAAATCTGCCCCAAAGCCCCAAGTGATGTTAAGGACAGCTCCAACTGAAGGACTGCTGCACTGAGACCATTACAGTTGGCTAAGAGTGAGAATTCTGTCCCCTAAGCATGCTCTGCAAAGAAGCCTCCTGACTTCTAGTGTAATCTCCAGTGAAGGGAGTGGGAGACTCAATGGAGCTGAAAACCTGATCTGTTCAAAGAACTTTCAAGGAGGCATCCCAATGTATGTAACGGGCATATGTCCCTGAGTTAAATGACAACAGGCTGGACTGATGACACCTCCTCTGAACTACTAAAGACTCAGAGGACAATGGCAAGCAGGAATGGAGAGTCTGGTGCTGGCCAATTAAAGATGGGATTGTGCAAAGGGCAGGAAAGGTCGCAGCAGAGAAGGTCAGCTTAGCCATGGCCTAAGTTCAAACCTGGACCCCCAAGTGACATTTCAGGAAGTCCCTCCCCTCCATTCTTAGATAATTGCAAAATAAGTAGGTCTCAAGAAGAATGAGTTGTACAGACTTCTTGAAATGAAAAGCTGGGGGACAACTGCAGTAATGACAATAACAACAGTAATAGTATGAGCTACTTGCCTAATATTCAACAGATATCGACCTGCTACATGGAAGGCTTTATGCCAGGTATTTGTATCAGTATTATCTTTAATTTCCCTAATTTTAAGATACATATTATCTCCATATCACAAATGGGTAAACTGAGGCTTAGGGCTCTAAGGTCACCCACCTAGCAGGTGATAGGAACTGAAACCAGGTCTGCAAGAACCCTATGCTCTTCCCACTAAAACAGCTTGCGATACCTACACTTCTTATGAACAAATTATAGCTAAAGCCACTTGAACTGAAATAAACTAAAAAGTAAAAACAAAAAACATTACGAAAAGACCACTTAAAAAAAAGAAACCCTCCACAAAGCATCATTCCAAAAACTGCGTGTCTGTGCCAAAATATTACCCATGAAGTATTAACAGTAGAGATTCTGTAGCATGAAAACTAGTTAACAATTGATTCAATTTAACAATGATTAAAATAGCAAAAGTAAAATACAAGGTTAAATGTGATGCCATGAGATACCAACTTCTATATGAAACGGCTATAGAAGCGGGTCCCAGGAAATGTTTGGTAATGGACATCCATGGGTGATGGAGTGACAACGTAACTGCCTGCACAGTGAGGAAGAAAACTCTAGGGCCACAGAGTCACCACTTCCTAGCTATGTGATCTCAGGCAACCTCACTTAACAGCTCAGAACCTCAGTTTTGAACCTGTATATGGGAATTATAAATATCTACTTCAAAACTGTTACGAAGAATAAATGTCACAGATGTGAAGTGCCTAGCATTCCATGAACGATATTTTAATAGAAAATTATTATTATTGCTCGACTGCTAGTTTACATTTCTATTTTTCTCAATTACCTATATTAGACACACAGAAGTATTCTGTTCTGAAGACACAAAGTCAAGGACTGTCATTTTTCCACATTTCAGGCTTTATAAACTAGATGAGATTCACCCTTCAAAATCAGAAATGCAACATGGCGAGAATCCCTCATGAACAGGAAAGAAACATATATCTGCCTTTACAGATGCAGTGGGTTGTGAATAGTGAGGCATCACAATTCCAAAACCAAGTCATCCCCAGGCTGTCCTTTGAGATTCTGTCTTGCTCCATCACCCATGAAATGCTGGGACCAGAGGAGGTCAGAAACATTCCTAAGAACCACTGGCACGAAACAGCTGCACCTCCTCCCCCCAACAGTTTCTCCTCCTGCCCTTGGGATGTCTTGTCCTTGAGGCCTGGCAGCCACTCAGGGGAAGGAGTGGCCCTGCCTCCCCAGCAGCTGGTGACCCAGCCAAGCTACTCCACAGCTACCTGTCGGATGTCATTACAGACTGAAGCAGAGAGATCAAGCTGATTTAGGAAAAGGGACAGAGACAAAGGCAAGGTTGTTTAGCTATCTGGCAATGACCTGGGCAGGTTTAAAGCTCGTTTCTTCATCTTTTCCAGGCAGTCTTCCCTACGAGAATTTCTCTAAGATTCTTTTCCTTCCTATGCTCTATTAAAATGAGCAAAAACCTCTAGAAGTTCCTTCTTTGCTCCCTTTCTTTCAACACCCATGGCCCAGTAGAAAGAACATAGGCTTGGAAGTTCGCCCTGGGTTTGAAAAACCCAAACTTCTCACTTACTAACCACATAGCCTTGAGTGAGCAAGTACCTTTTTTCCTCTCTAAGCCTCATTTTTAGGATGACAACACTACTATCTGTTTTGCAGAGTTGTTTTGAGCACAAGGGATGCACACTTGGCAGAAATTAAGAACCTAATGAATAGAAGATCTATTATTAGTTACTGGTAGTAATACTGCTTTCAATTTGCTCATCATAAAAAAAAAAAAACCTGTAAGATATGTTCTTTCTTTATGAGGGCAAATACCAAGATCCTAACCACTAAATATCAACACTGTACCTAGTTCTAGAGAAGATGAAAGATAAAACTTCCCATTATTTTAAAAATCTATCTATCTATCCATCTATCTAACTATCCATCTATCTATCAAAAGGCAGACTGCCAGAAGCAACACCTCATTTGCATGTGTCTAGAGTCTTGGAAGCCTGACTACCCTACATTCTCCTACAGCTAGACCCTGAGAGCTTGTTTGGAGGTTCTAACTGGGGAGGACAGCTACTCATGTACCCTTGACTGAAGAACGGTCCTCCTCTATCAGAGAAGGTTGTCCTCTTTGACTGAGCACACAGCTTCAGGAGGGATGCACATGGATGGTGAGGGAGGAAGGGGACACCTGTCTAGGCAGCCAGATCAGCCAGATCAATGGGGTGACAGATGTCACAACCAGATCACCCTCACATCCAATAAAACTTTTTAAACATTCAGGGGAGCCTGGGTGCCTCAGTCAGTTAAGTGTCTGACTCTTGATCTCAGGGTCTTGAGATCAAGCCCTGCACTAGGGTTCATGTTCAGCATGGAGTCTGCTTGAGATTCTCTCTCTCTCCCCCTCTGCCCCTCCCCCACACCCTGTGCTCACACTCTCAAAAGAAATAAAATCTTTTTTTTTTTTTTTTTTTTTTAGATTTTATTTACTTATTTGACAGAGACACAGCGAGAGAGGGAACACAAGCAGGGGAAGTGGGAGAGGGAGAAGCAGGCTTCCCGCTGAGCAGGGAGCCCGATGTGGGGCTCGATCCCAGGACCCTGGGACATGACCTGAGCCGAAGGCAGACGCTTAACGACTGAGCCACCCAGGCGCCCCAGAAATAAAATCTTAAGAAAAAAAAAAAACTTTTTAAACATTCAGATCTCACAACATAGGGAAAACAGCCCCTGGGTAATCAAGAGCTGGCCTAAGGGTGTCCATCTGAGAATTCTGATGAAGGTGGTGACAAGGGCTTGACCTAGAGAATTAGAGAATTCCAGTAACTGAAATATGAAAAAGATCACCTACGCCTCTTTTGATGCCTTATCCGATCAATGAGGAACTCAAGGTCCACAAGGTCAAAGGTTTTAATTAAGATCACTCAGGTCACTGGCGAAACTACAGCTAGGACTGAAACTTCCCAGTTCAGAGGGTTTTCCACCCAGCATACTATATATCACGTAGCAGGTATTTAAAAGAGTTTAAAGAAACAATTATTACTGTAGGTTAGGAACTATGCTAGGCTCTGTCCATCCCTGTCCTTGAGGGATTTACAGCCCAGTGGCCAAGATAGGAAAACAGATGTGGTATGAATAAGCACTGCAAAGTGTACAAGATGCTTGGGGCAAAGAAGAAAACCTTGACTAAGTCTTGGGGAAGGGGGTCAAGGGGAGGATTTCTCTGGAAATAAAATCCAAGGTGAGTTCTGAAGGATGAATGTAAGCCAGCTTGGTAAAGAGTGAGGCAGTGTTGAAGGTTCAGGGACAACAGGATGGGCAAAGAGGCATGCACAGCAGTGCTGGGGGGCAAAGCATGAGGCAGGGAGCCCCAGGACGGGGGCTGAGGAGGCAGGTAGGGGCCATTCCAAGCCCAGTACCTGCTGTCCAGGATATGCTAGTGATGGGATGACAACCAGGAAGAGAGGAGCCTGGAGACATTTGGGACCCATTCCTTATTGGAATCCCAGAGAAAGGAAGAAATTGAACTCCCTGGCCTATCTTGAGTCCAGAGGTTTCAGAGTATTCGGAGGTAGCGCTGGGGAAGGTGCAGAGGACAAAAAGACGATCTTGTTCGGCTAACTCTGCCTCACTGTTAATAATGAAATGGTTTCTCAGTGATCCGCTAATTTTCTGCCCCCACTTACCACGCTGAGATGAACAGACACTCCTGGGTCAGGAATGGGAAGTTTGTGCAGAGTTTCAAGAAGCTCATTCCACTGATTCTCCTGAAAGAAATAAAAGGCCTAAGTAACAAAAGCAAGGCTGAGCCCTTAGTCAGAGGCCTGCAGGGAGGTCTGGGCACACAGTGAGCCGGAGGCCCTCTTGATGAAGGGGGCTGGGGAGGGGCTGGCCCCAGTACAGAAATAGGCTTGATATTCAAGTAGGGTTGGACAAAAGACACTGCTTATGGCTCAATATAAGAGCCAAATAGATCCTCCCACACCAAGTTTGACATTTTCTACTGAGTGAGACACCTACCATGACCGCCTTTTATGGATCATATACCATAAGCTCGCAGCAAACCTATCCTCTCAACTCCATAGCAACAACTTTTAAATGCAAACAATCCTAGCTTACAGGGCGGGGGTGGTTGGGAGAAATAACGATGACACTATAGATCTTGTCTTCATCATCATTACCCTCAATTAATTTTATTGAGTGTTCACTGGATACACACAGCAGCATCCAATTATGGAAAGTTAAAATGAACTACATACAGCAGCATGCAATATAGTATGGTGGCTGTGCATTTTAATTAGTGAAATTGAGCCACAGAATGAAATACAAAGCAGTACAAATTATTCGATTGAAAACAGATTCACTTTTAAAATGCTCAAAAGAACGCTGCTTACAGAATTATGCAAAAGCCATTTCTCCCACCCTGTGGAATTGTCTGTGCTAATAGAATAGTATTACGCTTACATGTGTTTCCATTTGTTGTCTGTTTGATGCTCATGACTATCCCACTTCACAGACTGAAAACTGAGGCTCTGAAGGCTGAAACAACTGGGCTCAGATCAGCCAGTTCGTAAGTTGCACAGCCAGAAGCTACATGCAGGTTTTCTGTGTTTGAGCCCAGAGACCTCTCCACTGCTTCACAGCAGTCTTGGGTTGTGAATTTAAAGGAGAGGCAAAAAGAGGATGAGTGCAGATTAAAAACCTGCTTCAATCTGAACTCTGATCATTCAAGTTTCTCACGGAGGAATGAACGTGTGTGCACGTGCACACATTTAATTTTGCTCTGAAACTATCTCAAATTTACATAATTATAGGACAGCAATTTTGTATTTCCCGAACTACTTAACAGTGAGTTACGGACATTATGTTCCATCATCCATAAATACAAAGGACATTCTCCAGTACAACCACAACTAATCATCGAAATCAGGAAATTAACACTGATAGAACATTATCATCAAATCCTCAGATCCCTTCAAGTTTTATCAATTGTGCCCATAATGTCCTTGGATAGCAAAATAATCCAGCTCAGAATCACATGTTGCCTCTAGTTATAAAACTCTGGTCTTCATCAGTCTGGAACAGGTCCCGAGTCTTTCCCAGATTTGTAGGCACTTGACAGTGAGACCAGCCATTTTGTGGAATAATTCTCCATTGTCTGATGTTTTCTACTGATTCAGACTTCAATTCATTCCATTACTCATGATGTTCACTTTGATCATTTGATTAATTCATCTGAAGTCTCTACTGTGAAGGTACGCATTCTCCCTTTGTCTTTAGCAAGCATTTTGTGGAGTGATACTTTATGTAAACATCCCCTTCCTCAAACTTTTAACTTATCTATTTACTTATTTATATCGGTAAGCACACAGGGTTCCTGTTTTATTCAATGGCTATAAGCCTTTGCTATCGTTATTTGTTTTAATGCTCAAATAGTCCCAGATTGGACCAGTGGGAAGTCCTTAACCACTTTAAGCTCACTTCTGTGTCTTTCTGACATGTCCCCATCATGTTTTGAGCACTTCCTTTGAACACTTTTTGGCACAAAAAGATATTCCAGGCTCATTTTATACTTTCCCTGCCCTGGCCCTAGAATTAGACATTTCTTCAGAGAGCCCTGGCTCCTTTTAGTGGAAAATGTTATTTAGAAACCAAGATTTGCATACTAGGTGTGCTCATTGCTACCTCGGTATTGCTAACCCCAGACTCTTTTAGTGGTTAGAGCCAGAAAATACAGTACGCACACAGACACCCACAATAGACGCACCTTTACTGATTCCTACTATCACACGTTTTGTTCATACTAATAGCTCTAATTCCAATCCAACACAGGAATCCTTCTAGTTTCCTTCCTTTTCATATTTGTAACTAAATTCTATAGAAATGAAGAATCAATCCTATTTTCTTAATATATTTACTTATTTGTATGTAACCAATCTTTTATGACTGACCCTATCCACCCAGGGGCCCCCCTTGCCCTGCTTGAATAGGGATATCCAATGCTAGGCTGCTACTGTCCACTCCTCCCCAACAAGAATGCCTTCCCCACCCTAGGCTCCAATACCCCAGTGCTGGACCACGGCGGCCCCCCTTCCCTTGTGGATCCTTCTAGATCCTCCTAGAGTTCTGATATTTGGTGCCAAGCCATTGCCACTATTACTGCATGCACATAAACAACCGCTTTGTCCCTCAGGCTCCAACACCCTCGGCCAAGCTGTTCTCCAGCTCAGATGCCCTCTTCAACCCCTGCCAATTCTTCCACAGGGATGTCCTCAATGCCCCATCCATGGTCTGATATCCATGGTGGATCAATGACCCAGACAGACACCCCCATCATGTATCTTAGGCTCCAACACTCCACTCTGAGCCGTCATGGTCACTACCAACCCCTACACCCTCCAACTGAAACCTACCATGCCCAAAGCCTTTTGGACTTGGGGAGGGTATTCTGTTTTTTTAATAAAAGCTCTTTCCTCCTGTTCTATCTGAAGACCCACACCCTGCCAACAAGTAAGGCAGTTGTAGACAGATTTCCTATCATTTGTGTCGTAATTCCTTTAACCAGAAAAAAAATTAATAGAAAGAGTACTGGGTACAGGGGAAACAGACTCCACTAAAACACATCACTGATCGCAACTCTTCAACACTCCAAGAGGCAGGGTCCTTCCTGGGGCAATGGCCCAGAGGACTTGTGCACCAATTTTACGGGGTAATAATCCTATCTCCCTTATGCATAGGCTGTACAAACCTAACCTTTTCTGTACCACAAGACATGTTTTTAAATGTCTACTATGTTTTGACTGGAACATTAATATGGAAGAAAAAAATATGTGAGCCAATCTCCAATTCTAAGACTATTAAGAGCCTACGTGTGATGCAATTCTATTTACTAAAGATATCCTTCAAATTTGAGTGAAAACCTGAATGTTTGACTAAAATGAATTGTCAACATAAATTGATGAACAGACCCAAGGTGGCCTCTGAATTCATTCATCAAAGAATAAATCACTTCCTTCATGACAAAATTCCCGGATACCTAAGCATCCTCTGAGAGTGACTGTAGTGACCTAGGCAGCCATTTCTATTAGTTATTCCTTCCGATTACTGTGGCCTCTGGAATACATTGCTGGTGAGTAAATCTTACTTGAAGGAAAGATTTCTCCATTATACACGTTTTCCACTTTTTCTCCAAAGCAGCATTTCCTCAAGCATATTCTAGGAAACACTGGTATCTCAGAATATTAATATTTGTCATGGAATAAAAAGGGTTTGGGGCCAAACAAGATGGGAAGCATGGAATAACACATGTTTCTCCATGGCAGGACCTTCTCAGAGCCACCAGGACATCAATCTTAAGGAGACAAAAATGAAACACAGCCTTCCTTCTCCCCAACCCCAATATTACTGAACTATGGCACCCCTTTTTTTAATGGATCGAATGTGCTGTAGAAAGTATGAGGAGAAAAAAATTTCTGTAACATTTAATAATAAAGTATCAATTAAAAATATTAGGCCATTTACAAAAAGGAAAATTTAAGGAATTATATATATGGACAAATATTCAACTACTCATAAAGAAATGCAGTTAAAACAATGAGACTGTTCACTTGTTAAATAAACAACAAATTCAACAAATGGTACTGGCGAGAGTATGGTGAGCCAGGCACTCCTGTACATTGCTAGTAAAGGGCATCTTTTAAGAAAACAGTACAAATTCTTCTGGAAAACAGCTTGGCAAATTTTTTAAATGTTTATGTCCACTGCCCTAAAAAATGGCCCCTCTGAGATTTTCCTCTTAAGGAAATACTCCAAAAAGAAGAAAATGCTTTATGTTCAAAGATGCTAATAGCTACAACTACAGTGGAAAAAGAAATCCCAAATAATGAAAACTCCCAACAGGGGCACCTGGGTGGCACAGTCGGTTAAGCGTCCAACTCTTGATTCCGGTTTAGGTCATGGTCGCAGGGCCATGAGACTGAGCCCCGCATCAGGCTCCATGCTCGGTGGGGAGTCTGCTTCTCTCTCTCTCTCTGCCCCTCCCCCACTTTGTATGTGCATGGGTGTGCATGTGCTCTCTAAAATAAATAAATAAATCTAAAAAAAAAAAAGAAAAAGAAACAACTTCCAACAATAGGGAAATGTTTCTAAGGTCCATAATAAAATGCTATGCACCCATGAAAAATATTCACAATGTTTTTACTAACCTGGGGAAATGCTTCTGTTACTATAGCACCTGAAAAATGTGAGCTATGAAAGACTAAATACAGCTCCAGTTGACCCTTGACATCCATGGAAGACACTTCAGCATATCATTTCTTCCAAAAGTACAGTAAAGTAGAGCTAACTTTTTAAGTAATTTTTCAGACCCTCAAAAAAATTACTGAAAGTGCACAACAAAGCCTTACTGGAAGGGGAACTTGGGACAGGTGGCTAGGTCACTTGCTAGTTAAGTGTTTTACTCGCAAATCGAGCTTTTGAGCAATTCAAATTTGTGCCTCAGCAAAATTATAATTTAATACATGTCATGAACTTCCAGGGCTGCTTGCGAATATCAGCTATCAGATATCAGAATATTAACTCTGAATGCTAAGGGTCTATTTATTATTCCTTTAACTGCAAAAGGAAAGGAAGAAAACATCCCCAAAATACTAGCGATTGTTATTTTTGGGAAGGGGGAACATATCAGGAATGATTTTTCTCATCCTTCCTATTTCCGAATTTCTGAAACTTTCTATAATGGGCATGCATTACTTTTTTGGTAAACATTTTGGTGAAATATAAGGCGTGTATTACTTTAATAATCAAAAAAGTTAAAGTTACTTGCTAAAAAGAATAAAATATAAAGTAAATACCTGGCCCTTTGTCGTGTAATCCGCCAAGATGTTAAGCAGCTTATAAAATACTTCGAACCAGGGAAGATAGCTGGGGAAAGAGGAGAAGAAACATGAAATATTAGTATGCAGGTCAAAAACTTTAACCAGGAGCTAATTCAAGACTGGTACATTTCAGTTTTTCCTCTACATCCTGAAGAGTCTTCCTGTTATAGGCTGCTGGAAACACAGACTGGTGGAATGCTAATTATTTCTGGGATTTTAAAAAATTGCCTGTGTAAGGTGGAGGATTGAATATCCATTATAAATTATTCCCATGCCTCAGAGCTAGAACGGGTTCATAGAGAAGAAATTCAAAGCAGACTCTGCAATCAGGAACCATCTCTGAATAGCCCCCCAGGCCTCTCCCACCACACCCACCCTTTCCAGGAAGCTTCTGTGCAAGTCCCTCATGATTGGACACACACAGCCACACACTCATACATACAGCACTCCCCCTGCTGCTGTCTGCAAGGTGTCCCAAAGGCCCCATGAGCCTGAAACCAGTCATACTGTAGCATCAAACATCCTACCTGTACCGCACCCCCTCTGGACTTACTGCAGGACGGGCTCTAACTCTCTGTTCCCACTGCCTTCTACTGGGTCCTGACCATGGCACCCCTTCACTCCGAGGACAGTCTGGTCCTGACCTCACTCTATCCTCTCTCTGTGGGGCTTCAAGAATAATCTTTCTAAAATGCACATCTTAGTGGCCCACAGATCCAGTTCCTGCAGTGGTGCCCCATCACTAATGGACTTCTTAGGATGGCGCTGGAGGCTCTTCGTTGTCAGGTCCCCGACTGGCTGCCCGCTCTACTTCCCCACATTCTGCAGTGCATTCTTCTCTCACTGCAGCCTCCCTCCCAGAATGGCCAGGCATCCTCAAGCCTGCCCGAGCTTGCATACACTTGGCCCTTTTCTCCCTCTGACCTTCCTGGTCTAGGCTAGCTTTATTTCCACTCATCCTCCTAACGGTCCTCTGCAAGCTCCCCATCGCTGCCCCTCACGCCCTAATTCCCTCTTCTCTGTGTTGCCCTGGTCACATGCGTACTCCCGTTAGAACATTCCACACACCATGTGGCACTCAATGGTGTGTCTGTTTTGCTAACAGACTGTGCATAGAGAAGGAAGGATCTCATCTTTCTTCACTTTGTCTTCCCGGGGCCAAGCGTGGAGCCCGGCATACCGTCAGCGCTCAGTGTTGATGGAACAAACACAACCAAACAAAGACTAAGAGCAAAGGCATGTTAATGTTATAGAATTGTTGTTGAACTATCTCCCACCCCACCCCCTGCCGCCCAGAAGTTTGTCACTTAATTTAAATGGCTTTATTCTCCATTAAGAAACTTTTCCAAAGCGACAAATAGTCAAGCGAGGAGGGCGTTGTACCAAGCCCCTGCTGTCCTGCCCGCATCTGCCCTGCTGAGCTCACGGGTCCGTTCCTGATGGAGCTGGATGCGCAGTGGAGCGCTGATCCCACCAGGCGGAGGGAACTCAGCACCCCGTACAGATTAGCAGCTGTACTGCCGAGGGTAATAGATGAAGTGAGAGGCAATCCAGAGGACAGATAAAGTGCACAGTTCTCCATCATTAACGTCTGTCTGAAGCCAGCACATGCTACTGTAATATTTAAGTAGCTTATCAAAATATACTGATAAGCAACTTAACTTTTCACTTCTGTGACAGTATTATCACTTATGTTAATATGTTTCAATCAGCTCTGGCAGCTGCATATTGACTATTACACAGCAAATGACTGCCGCCACTTTCCACAGCATTTACTTTGACAGAGCAGTGTAAACATTCAAGAGGGATTAGGGAGGAGATAAGTTTCTCCCTTCCTATTCTGTTAAATAAACCTCGGCTGAGTTAAAAGCCATTATAGTGGGAACAATAAATCCCCTCAGACGAAAACTCTTGCCCAGATTAGAGGACTCTTAGTAAACAAATTCAACCAAGGATTACAAAAAAAATTTTTCCCCCTGAAAGAGAAAATACCAGTAGTTAAATCCAGCAACTCAAAGTCAGGAAGGGA